CACCACCATTATCACCATCACCATCATCACCATCACAATCATCACCACCATACTCATCATCATCAGCATCACATCCATCATCAGCGTCATCATCAACATTCATCATCACCATCATCAGCATCATCATCAATCCTCCTCTTGCTCCGCCTCCTCGTCATCATTATCATCATCCTAATCATTATCATGATCCTCCTCCTCCTCCTCCTCCGCCTTCTCCTCATCATTATCAACATTATCATCACCGCCATCATGATATCATAGCCATCATCATCATCACCATCATCACCACTAGCCATTCGGCTCAAGCCAGTTTAGATCAATCTGGCCCGGGGACATCAATTTCGGTCACGTCTTTTAGTGATCACACCTCACACTCGTCACACACAGCCGCACGCGATGGCTGGTGTCAGCAGCGCTGATGGCGCGAAGAGGCCTGGGTTGAGGACACGGGGATGCAAATGAAGGCGAGTGGGCAGGAGCCTGAGGAGCCAAATATGAAGTACTTGTGCAAGCTCATCTCGAAGTCGATGAAGCATAATGAGAACTTCCAGCTGACGGCCACGGAGAGTTTGAACGTGGTGAAGGAGGACGTCAAGGCAGTGAAGGAGGACGTCAAGGCTGCCAGCCACAAGGCGGAGGAAGCCTTCCGGGTGGCAAAGGAGGCGAAGGAGATAGCAGAAGGAAAGGGACCAGGTGGCCGTGGCTCGGCTGGATTATCCTCGACGGCGTCAGGAAATGGTGGCGGAGTCTTTCAGGCCGATCGGCATTGATTGCTGGAAGCTTGTCGTTGGAGGCTTCTCCGAGTGGTCCGAAGAGGAAGAGATCAAGGCAGCGATTGACCAGGTGCTTGTGAAGGTCGGCCACAAGAGCTGGGACCGTCTGGGCACCCACGGCCGGCAATCACGGCACAGCTATCTTCAAGGACGACGATCTGATCCAGGACTTCGTCACGAAGTGGCGGAAGCTCGTGAGCAACGAGGGCGACGTCAAAAGATGTATTGGATTTACTTCGACAAATAACCAGGAAGTGCGGGTCTGGTGTAATAATCACCAGGCACCAGAGCAGCGGGCGAAGGTAGCCATAACCACGAGGATTTTGGAGGCCATGCGGACTTTCGACGGTCACCTGAAGTACGTGCCCGTCTGGAAGCCTACTTTCCGGGAAGTGGTGTGCAGCAAGAAACCGCTGGTGTCCATGAGCGACGAGGGCGACGGCACATCGGACACTTGCTTGGAGAACTCCCCCCCGAGCATCGCCAGCGTGACCAATGAGCAGGTCAATGAGGCTTACCAGAAGGCCAAGAAGGACGCTGCGAAGCGTTTTCGCCGCTATCCGAGCAGCTGGAAGACAAAGATGCGATGCTGGAGCATCGCGCAGATGGAAGAACATGGTGCGCATCCATGCCGTTGCACTGAACTGCGGTGGGTTATATAGCCGCCTCTCAACGAGAGTCCCTTTTCCAGGACTTCGGGTGGCAGTGGGACGTCCGGCTGCCCCAGGAGATCAATACTACCGAGGTGGGCTTCTGCAGAGAGATCCTCGGTCAATTTTCGTCATTTCGGCACCTGCTGATGGAGGTGTTTGGGGATGTGCAGTAGCTGTTCACAGAGAGTACAAACTCAATGTCCATGAAGAGCAACCGTCAACACACCAGCGCCTGCAGCAACTTCACGCCCGCCTGTCCGGCCGCACCTTCTTCTTCATCTCCGCGTACTTGCCCCAGCAGGCGAGCCAGGAATGCTTCGATACATACCTCACCGCTGGCACGGACGAGGTCGACACGGAGTTCCATTAAGGGGACGGATGCAAATTGCGAGGTGGGAGAGATCGAGACCGACGCTGACATGATGATATTCGGCCCCTTCGCCGCGGGCGTCCGCTGGCAGCATGGAGCTCAGTTCTTGCAAGAGTGCGCCGACTGCTCCCTAGTTATGGCCAGTACCTTTTTTCGACATCGGTAAGGCAGCCCGGTTCGACTCCAATGGGCACGGTACTGACATCGACTACGTCATCACCACGTCGTATCAGCTCGGCCTTGTGGAATATAGCATGGTGGTCCAGACGTCCGCTGCCAGGACGGACCATCTCGCACTGCAGGTAAGAATACGCACTAAACGAACCACACGATGACATTGCAGAAAACCTAGGAACTGGGAGGTTGAGGACATAACCCTAGGGGGTATTTAGATTTGACCCCACTTGTTTTTTCGGCAGTGCCTTACACTGGTCCTAGAACTTCCTCGTCGCGGCGGAGATTATGTTTTCCTTTATTGTTGGGCGGGCTAGGCAACATTCGGGAGTCATTTCTCCAGCGGAATGATCCATTGTGGGCTACTACGCGCGGGGGGATTTGTGAGCATCTTCTCATGAGAGCTGCAATCGGATTCGCTTCATTTTGATTTGCGAATTTGCTCAAATTCGTTTGCCTGGCACTGCTGGCAGAACTCCCTTTTGCCTGGTCGGCCCGCGCGGCGACGTGGGATTGGTTTCCTTCTATTG